ATTATATATTAATACGGTCCTATATGGTATCAGTTTATCCATGTTTAATCCCTACAACCCTGTTTAAACTGTGTCTAGAATGGATGCTAAAAGATAAGCAATTTAAACAGAACAGGGACTTTAAGAACAAAGCGGATATTGGCTTATGCGGATGATGTTGCGACTCATCTCAGCCTCAGCAGAAAAACTCAACATACTCATTAATAAATAGAAGCACAAAGTACATGAAATTTACAGAACATTAAACATGATAAGAGATCCGGTGATCTTCAAAATCAACGAGAATGCAGAGAACGCCGTAGAATTAGAACAAGTGGAGAATTTCACTTACCTGGGAACGAATACGCACGAGATTGGAAAACATGACTGTGAGCTGGCCGCACCAAAACAAAAAGGAAATGTTAAGGCAGGAATTTTACACAAAATTATTACATCTAAGAATGTATCAAGTCGATCCAAAATACATATATACAAAATAGTTTTAAGACCGACAGTCCTCTATGCAAGCGAAACATGAGTGCTAAACCAAACACAAGAAGATAAAATAAATACACGGGAAAGGAAAATATTGAGAGAAAGAATTTTTGGAAGTATTAAAGAGGGGGAGGTGTATAGAAGAAGAACCAAGGCCGAGATCATGAGTCTTTTGAAAGAGCCTGCGATATCAGAAGTTGTAAAAGCTTCAAGATTAATGATATCAGTTAAAATATAGATGATACGCAAGTGAAGAGTACATATGAGAGAATGTACAAGAGACATGACATTTGACAATAGAAAAGCGGATCTACTAGATAAATATTGAAAGTTACATAGCTAGCAAGTTAGAAAATTGTTATAGATAAAGTAAGATAGCATTGACAGATTTGAAATACAATTTTAAAAGGGAGTGTAATTAACAATGGGGTAAATAAAAATGGGTTTATCTATAAATGTCCTATTTCTTATTAACTTAACTTCTTCTTAATATAAGTTTTAGTTGACAGCTGGTATTTCTGAAAGATTATTGGGTCAACTTTATCTGATTCCAGCAGTAATTTAAAAAGGAAAACACATGCTAAGTAATCTCGGAAGTAATTAATAATAATGTCGGAAGATATTAATGATTAAAAGTAGTCATTATCAGTTTTTCTATTGGATGGTTCTATTAACCCTTGTTCAGGGTTAGGTTAGGTTAAGTTGGCCCAATAATTCTTGAGAGTTGCCTAATTGATATTACAAAATACACAGTATTTACAATAAAATATACATTCTCACATTCAATTTATCCTGTTTTCTACATTTGGCCTTTTTAATAATCGTCTAATTACTAAAAGCCAAATGTATTTGTCCACAATTTATTATAAATATAGACAAGACTGAGACTTATAGACTTAATAAAACACTTATGATGTATAATAATATCTATCTAGTAATTTACTGGTTGTAAATTCAGTACTTTTATGAATATATAAAGTTAGTATAAAAATGTGGAAATCAGATACTTTTTATCGAAGAAAATATGTATATTTTCTATTTGTTTATATTTACTACCAGTGGCTCGAAAGAAAGGAAAGAAGATTTTCATAAAATCAGCGGTCCTTCTGATCATGCTCATCATGATCACTAAGTAACACTATGCTTATTTTATTCAAACGAATAAGAATAATAAAGACAACGTTAGGTACAGCATATATGAGAAGAAATTCCAAGAATCAGTTCAAGGTACGATAAAATCGATAACACCAACTCTAATTGATTGTCGCATAAGCGGCATTCATCTTACACAAAGTATCTCATATTATATATTTCTTCAACAGCATGTAGACGTCTAATCCAATTCACGTTGGGTATTTTTCTTTAAAATAAAATATTTTAATTTTATTATGCGATATGTAGATCGCCGAGAATCCATCATTGTGGGTGTTCACCAGTCTATGGTGAATAAAATCGAATAGACAAACCAGAAAACGATCAAAAAGGTAATGGAAAAAACATTATTCTCTAATAAAATTGATCCTGTTTAGATCTATTAGAGCTTTTGATTTTTCCGACCTCTATGACATGCTCTTCGCTTGTTTTCGGTGTTGTACCTCTCATAATAATTATTGGAACATTATATGTATCATGTATAAGTTTGTGTCTTCTTAAGCTCTTATATAGCAATATTATAGTCATTTTCTTTCGAATTTTAAGAAGATGTACTGCCAGTTGATAATATTGAAATATTAAACAAAGTTAAACTACTTTTATAAAAAGTATCAAAATCCCAAAATGTCCTACAGTATGAGAAGTTTTAACAGCCAACAATGACTTAAGTAAATACTGAATTTACTTGCTTACGTCTACAAAGGCCTCTATTGAGTTGGGTCTATAATAAAGTTTTTAAAATAGAAATTGCAACATTTAAAAATAGATTCACTACAATCTCTTTTGTAATAATAATTGTACATATACAATTTTACTTCCAAAATATTTGGAATTTAAAGAACTGGTAGACTCAACTGAGTTTAACAATCTAGCTATTTCAAAATATGTAGAACATTTCACAACCATTAGCTCATATTAATAAATATTTTGTAAATAGTATATCGTAAGAAGTATCTATATATCTTTTTCTACGAAATATATACAGTAACTTTCCACCGATCGGTCTCTCTATTGAAAAACTATTTTTAACTAAGATAGATTTCGATTTAGGAAAAACTTTTGTACTCTTTAAGTTAATTCATACTTTTCAGAGAAATATAGGAAAAATCTAGACGTCTTTTTGCTTAAACCTTGTGATGGATTATATCCTGGAGCAGTGTTCAAAGATGAAATCTTCAACTTTGTAGGCCAAGTATTCGATGCGGAAATCAATACTCACAGTCAAACATGATGTTGATTTTTCTAAATATCTAAAAGCTTCAATGATTTCTCAAAAGGCAGGATGTAGGTTATATCCTCGAATAAACAGTGTGATCCTGACGTTGTTGGAAGGGTTAAGGCATGATGTGTTAGGTGCCATAAGCTAAGGAATCCTTATTGGGTACATGTTGCATTACCATGTATTGCTGTCGATCTTTAACGTTTTCCTGTATGACAGCAGATATCTGTGACAGGTTTGGATACAGTCGCTTGAGTCTGACGATTGCGATGGAGACAAGAAAACAAAAAGATAAGTGTTGGAATAAGAGTTCGGATATCTCGTATTATCCGATTCATATGTATGAGAGAGAGAGAGAGGAGAGAGAGAGAAAGAGATAGATAGAGAAGAACATAGTCAATAAATGGGAAATGGAACTTAGTGCAGGAAAATAATTCAGGCCAAAAGCAAGCAAAATGTGTTACTTCTGCTGGATACACAAAGATGCTCTTAAAACTTCAGAAGATTGAACTCATAGTAATCAAAGGCGTTCTCACCGGATACTGCTCATTCAGATAACTTTCTGTAAAGCAACATGTAGATTCTGGGAAAATCGCCGAACATAGTATCGTCAACTGTAGAGTAATTATGCACCGTGTAAAATGAGGGTTTTACACGGTGACACATTAGAAGTAGTGAGTACATTAGAACATTTGTCTGCCAGTCTGCTATAAAAACCAATTTAAAAGTTGGGTTATGAGAGAGGTTTTTAGTAGTATTTAGTAAATGGTTCCATAAAGACTTTGTCTCAGAAGTGAAGAAGTTATGAAAGGATCTAACTAGTCCATAAAAGCTTTACCCGTATTTCACAACGCTTGAGACCACCGAAATGAACAAGACTTAGATCAAGCGATCCAAATCATTTGCCTACCACCAAACCGTACACCTTTACTGAAGCAGATAGATAAAAATGTTATCCAAAAAGTAAAGTCCTTGTATAAAAATAAATTGACCATCCATATTATTTCTCAACATGGTAACATAACATGGTAACATGGTAACATAAAAAATTTAATTTGAATTATGTTGTATTCCCCCTTTATCACGCATGGAGCTCAATTTCATCTGCCTTAATTCTATCATGGAGAAAGCTATGGTCTACAATGAGTGCTGTATCACAAGAAAAAGAAAAATATGATCCTGAAGATAATCTACCTATTACCGATTGGTTTCAAAATTTATCACAAAGAGAATTCGCGATAATTAAAGAAGATTTATCAATTGTTTTATTTGAAGGGTCCGAAGAAACATAGTTAATTATAAAATATGAAGAAATATGTGAAGCAGTACAAGACAAAGCCTAGTAAAAATATTGGAACCACCAACTACTGTAAAACCAGATACAGCATTTAATTGTTTCAATGCCTAAATAACGTGGGCTAAATATATTATAATTCTTCGAAACATGCAAGAAAGGATTTTTAAATAAGGACTAGAAGTTGAACAAAAAGACACGTCAATTAAGGATTATTTTAAACTATGTTAACTATGTAATTAGTTAAATGTGAGACATGTACACAAAGCATAAGTTTTAATTATTCCCTGTATGGCATGCTTTATTTTATGCATTGTGAAGTTTTATTTACAATCGACTAATCCCAATAGTTAAGTAATCTGACACTCTCTGGTTTTTTAGAGTGCCGGAGTAGTTAGATTCTACTGAAGTAGACTTTCTTGAAAGTCTACATATCTTACACTAAAACATAGACGTAGTCTATGTTTTAGTCTACAAAAGGTCTGAAATGCCAAACGATCCTTTTAAAATTTGAAATGAAAAGGAGGAAATAGGAGCGAAATAGGTCACCGAGGTGATATCATTAACACCAGGGAAGATCCAATTTGTATCCAGATTACAAAGGAGCTGATAGCTCTAATATTACTCATAAATGTTCAAAAATTGTAATAATATGAGTAAACAAAACAAGCAATTTATTTTAGAAGTATAAAAATATGCAAAATATTGGGAAATACTGTTTGTACGATCGGTGGAATTATTTTTAATTTTATTAAATAATATCGCAAATACCATACATTATGTCGAAACATTCTTAAAAGGTCTATGGTACAATAATATTTTCGTTATAAATATAAATTTAAAATGTATACTTGATTTTAACTCCGACTTTTCATATACATAGATAACAGTTACGGTTGCATACACTTTTTTCATCGCGGTATCTTTTTCATCGACCAACTCAATAAGGCATTACGCATACTGCTACATTCACAGTTCTTAAAAATAGAATCAGTTTGGCAGTAAGATCAATCCGTCGTGGGTAGAGGGTACAGATAATTCAAGATAGCATAGTAGTGAGAGTATGCCGCCAAAACGACAAACAGGTGCCAGATAGCATGCGCAAATGGAATCCGCCCGTCGCTCTTGAAGAATACTATACCTATCAAGTACAACAAGCCGCCGATAGAGAGCTCTGTTATACCCTTGAATGTGTGCTAAAATATATAAACATATTAGGTAATGAAGTAAATACTGGCGGTGATATATTAAACAAGTACAGATTAACAAAATTTCACTAAACGAATACAGCATTTGAATACTATCATGCAAAGTAAACGAGTAATTCGAAAGCTATGTTTGTTTAGTAGAACAAAATTAAACCAATTTAAGGACGAAAACAAAATAAATCGTACAATATATAATATGAAACACAAAATAACCAATTAAAAAAATGAATACTACTTTCAGAGACAAATTAAACGTTTTAGTTATCCTTCTCTAAATACTTTATGAAATATTCGAGGAAATATGTAAAAATTGCTGTTCAATTAATTCAAATTTTTGCCCGATGATTCGAACGAGTACATACCGCTTTGTGAATTAGAGTAGAAATTGGCTGTTTATCACTGTAAATACCAGTTTTTAAAAGTATTTAACGATGAAAAAGTAATTAGTAATTGTTGTGTAGAGTTTTTAAGCCATATCAATACGTACTGAATCAAACTTATTACTACTTGACTACGTCAAAATCATAGGTTACATTGTTAGCCCCAAAAACATATGCTTCGCCTCAAGAATTTACAATAATCGGATATGCATCTACTTAACAAATGCTGAACTTGTCGAACATATTTTAACAGAATATCCTACGATTACAATCAACTCTGTACAAATACCCGTAAGAATCCTGGTAACCCCAGCCAAGACTAATAATCTCCACCGTCTGTCCATCAATACCTCATGAAATTATAGAAAATCACCTTCAAGATCTAGGTCTTCAACTTGCTTCACCAGTGTCACATATTAAAGCTGGAATTCCCGGTGATGAAGTTACGCATATTATGAGCTTCAGAAGACAGGTATACGTTACTCCAACTACAGAAACTTCATTAATAATTCCATTCGACAATAATTTGTACACAATATTTCTCTCTACTGACAAAATGGCATATTTTCATGCAAAAACATGGACATACAGCAAATAACTGTCAAAATCCCCCTAGCAATCCTCTCCCAAATGAACAAACGTCCCCAGCTGAACCCATCCCTGCTACCCCAATATCAAACAATATGGCACCACCAAACACAACACAAAATACGATTCCTAGTCAACAGATGAAAACTGTCGATATATCCACCACTTCTATTGCCGCAAACAATGAATTTCTTCCTCCTGCCACTGGTCAAAAACGAACTCGTTCTCTTCAGCGATTCTACCTCCCAAGAAACAAATACATCTACTAACTTACCCATCAAAGACATAAAAATGCACCTTCACCCCATACAAACGTACCTAAAAAGCATAAAACTAAAAAATCCAAGAAAGTCGCACGCGATCAGTCTAAATTAATTGCCTCATCAGTTGTCACAATCAATATCTTTATCAAGAAAATCCAAACTTATTCTTCTTACCGGTTGAAAATTTTCTTGCCTTTCTGGAAAACTCATTCGGCGGTAATAACCCTCAGCAAGAAGCACAGCAGTTCACTTAAAATGTTCGATCACTACTCGACGACATGTTTAAAATATACCCATCACTGGAAAATAGAACAATCAAGAATAGATTTACAAGTGTTTCTAAGAAAATTAAACAGCAACTTAATATAGACAATTCAGAAATCGGAAGCACAACATCGCAATCTACAAATAATAATGAAGATTATCTAACCGACTCTTCTCTGACCTCTCAACGTTCTCAATATTAAAAATATTTTACTTTCACGTTAGTCCAGTGGAACTGCGATGGATTCTACCCTCGCTTAGAACACTTACAACAATTAGTCAATAATACAAAAGCAGATATCATCTGCCTTCAAGAAACCAATTTCAAGGAAATACATAGACACAAAATAATCTTTCATTAATAATTTCCAATTACCACAAAATTATGTTTTAGTTAGTTTTGATGTAACATCTCTTTTTACCAATTTACCTTTAGATTTACAATTTTATGGGCCCGCGTAGCGCAAGCGGTAGTGTGCTTGCCTCGCATGCCGGTTGGTCGTGAGTTCGAATCCTACCGCCGGCAAGAATAACTAGGCATTTTTAAAAATGTCTATAGGCCCCAGGTCGACTCAGCCTGAATAAAATGAGTACCTTGGGTAAAACCAGGGGTAATAATAGGCGGTTGAAGCGTAGCACTGGCCATGTTACCTTCCTTGTATACCGTAGGCCCTAGATATAGCAGACTACCCTGCTATACTCCCCAAAGCCGCGTGCGGTATAAAACGGGAGACTATTATTATTACCTTTAGATTTAATCATAAGTAGTGTTGAAAAACATTGGAATGAGATTTCGTAACATACTAATATTGACTTATTACATTTCAAAACACTTATCAGCTTTGTTTTTGATTCTAATATTTTTATATTTAATGGTGTCTTTTATAAACAAATTGTTGGTAGTCCTATGGGATCTAGTCTTTCACCCATTCTAAGTAGCTATGTCATGGATGATGTTATCAGCGATTGTATCAACAATTGTACTTTTTTCATTCCTTTTATTAAAAGATATATAGATGATTTAGTTTTGGCACTTCCTAAACACAAAATTCATGAAACAGTCAACATTTTCAACAATCATAATTAACATATACAATTTACAGTTGAGGAAAAGGTACAATTATCTACCATTCCTTGACATGAAAATTGTAAGAACTACAGACAATGTGTTGAAAACTAGATGGTTCAGAAAACCCATGTGTAGTAATAGATTTATAAGCTATTACTCTCAACATCCAAATAAGATGAAAATGAACCTTATAACCGTTCTTATTATCAGTTATATCAGATTATTATTCTCTTATAGTAATACTTAATGTTAATGCTAATAACTAGACTTCGGCAAATATGCATATTGCATATTTTGCATATTGTGCATATTTTATGCAAATATTTCATATTTTGGCATATTTGTATAAAAGTTTGCATAAAGTGCATAAAAGTTCAGATTTTTTTACTGTATTTGAAAATTTTTAAACATACCAATTTATTTCAATTCTTGTATAAAATTTTGTAGTCATTTTAATCAAGAAATGATCTAAGTACGTAATCTCTACAGGTACAAAACATTTACAATTTCAAAGAAGATCAATTTAAGTAACCCTCAACATTCTTAGAAAGTCTCGGTCACTGAGACATTCAGTTATTGGATAATCGCTAAGGGTTCGCTCATTTGCATTTTATGATCTAATCCCCAAATCTATCTACAATTTATTGTATCTTAACAGCAGGTAAACGGCTAATAGTTTTGTTTCTAATTTAGGGATTTTCCAAAATCTCCCAGTTTATTGAATTAGGTACCTAAACATTTCTAATTTGATGCTCAGATTTGTAAATCATTTTTGTTTTGATATTCAAAGCGTAAACACTCGTTGTGCGTAACAAAAAGAGAGATTGTGATTTTATAATGCCTAAAACAACCAGTGCTTCAACTTGGATTAAACCTTAGAAAGAGCTGTCTATGGATATGGGAAAAATCTACTGTTCAGTATGTGGCAAAATTGTAAGTATCTAATATTTTCTATTAAATATCTAATATTTCATACATACAGGGTGTTTCCAAATGACACTTACAACGTTTGACTGTAGATACTTCTCGAAAAATTGAACAAAACGATATAGTTAATGAGGGGTCAAACTTATTTACTTTTCGAGATACAGGGTGTTAAAATTAAAAAAAAATTAAATTCTTTTAGTTAATAACAACAATAACTTTAAAACCAATAAACGTATTTACTTGAAATTTAGTACTCGTAGGTTGTTTTTTAAATGAAAAATAGCTTCCTTTAGTGAGAAAAAAATTGTCCATGGTACAATACAATGGTGTGTATTTAGAAAAATTTTTCACCTTTACTTTTTTTTATGAAGTCAGCTATTCTAAAACACAATTATTTTTATTGTAATTGAATTAACAAAAAAAAAACTTTTGTTGAATTTTAAAATAAGTTATATGATGTACTAATGGTTAGTAACAAAAACTAATTTGTGGATTAATACTGCATTTAAAACACTTAGCGAGTGTCTTTTTTCCAAACCAGTTATTTGATTAACCAAAAACACCTTGTATATTTTTATATTTTAAAGGTTGGGTTAAAATAAAGGTTTTTATTTTTATTTATAGATAGCATGTGAGAAGAAATTTCAGATAGACCAACATGTGAGAACTGCTTCACACATTGCAAAAAAAGGAAAAATAGGAGGAAAACATCAAACTTCAATGGCTAAATGTTTCCAATCTACTTCAAAAAAATTAGATGAGCAAGAAACTTTTAATGAAGACTTGTGTCGCGCATTAGTGTCTGCAAACATACCGCTTTCAAAATTAGCAAATGTAAATTTTAGTTCGTTTCTAAAAAAATATTGCAAACTTAATGTTCCAAGTGATCGGTCTCTAAGAAGAAAGAATGTGAACGGGTTATACTCGTCGGTGTTAATTAATATTAAGGAAGAAATTGCAGATAATTATTTTTACATATCTGTAGACGAAACCACTGATTCCTCAGGAAAGTATATTGCTCATTTATTGATTGGTGTTCTTAAAGAAGATACCTTACCAAAATCTCATCTTATTTCATGCCAGCAACTTGAGAAAACAAATGCTTTAAACAATTTCGCGTTTTATACAAGAAACATTAGCAACTTTTTTTCTTCCGACAACTATTCCTTCTAATAAATTACTGCTTATTTTATCGGATGCTGCTCCTTATATGGTGAAAGCAGGACAAAATTTAAAAATATTTTTCCCAGATTTAATACATGTTACATGTGTAGCGCATGGATTAAACAGAGTTGCAGAGGAAATACAAAAAAAGTTTCCTCTTGTAAATACCATGATATCCAGTGTCAAAAAAGTATTTCTTAAATCTCCTATAAGAATTCAACTTTATAAAGAAATGCTACCTAACATTCCTCTTCCACCACAACCTATTTTAAACGCGATGGGGAACATGGTTAGAAGCAGCTAATTTTTATGCAGATCATTTTGTTAAAATAAAGAACATAATTGATACGTTAACAGATGAAAGTTCCCAATCTCTTTTGGATTCTAAACAAACTTTTCAGAGTAACTTGCTTCAACAAGAACTTTCATTTATAAAATCAAATTTTAGTTTTGTTCAAAAAACAATTACTCAGTTAGAATCACCAAAACTGTCATTGTTCGAAAGTACAGCATTAATAAAAGAATTTGCGTCATGTTGTCGGAACGTTAGAGGTAATATTGGAAAAGATATTTTAAAAAAATTTGAAGCTACTATGGAAAAAAAATAAAGGTTACCATATTCTTTCTGAAGTAGTCAGTGTTCTAGCTGAAAATATTTCGGAAACAATTAATTTAGAACCAAATGTTTTGGTTAGTTTGAAAAATGCTCCCGTTACATCAGTTGATGTTGAACGAAGTTTTTCCATATATAAATATATGTACTCAGACAGAAGCCACAAGTTTTTTTAGAAAATTTTGAACACCACTTGGTCATTTATTGTTACCATAATTCTAAATAAGTTTATTCATACTTAAAAATGATGTAGTTACTTAAAATAAATGTAAATCTTAATGAATAGTAGGAAATATTTAGTTATGTACACTTTTTTTTTAATAAAATTGTTACTATTTTACGATTTTTTTATTTATTTGTATGCATATTTTGTAAAATATTTGCATATTTTCGGGTAAACACGTGCGTATTTATGCGCATATTTTCTACATTTTTATTTGCATATTTGCCGAAGTCTACTAATAACAAATACTATTGGGGATATTAATCGTCTTGACAGTTAAGGTAGATGTGACATTATTTCCTTAAATAAAAATACCATATATCTACATAGTAACTTACTTCACATATGATGGGAAACACCGGTCCAACACCCATGACAAGGTAAAATATTGTTTCGAGCATTTTGTACTGTTCATGGAAGATCTGTTGATAGGTGATACCTGCTATGGCTAAGAACCAGACTATCCACCGCATCTGGGAAGCCCATCCTTCGTGCGGAAGTTTCTCGAGCGTGAGCCATGGAAAATATGATCCTGCGATAAAGACGTATATCATGGCTCTATCACATCGATGGAGGACATCTTTAAGTTGGCTAAAATGTTAATACAATTGTAATAATGGTATAAAAAATCGTAATATAAAATAATCTTTACATATATCACCAAAGACAAAATCACAAATGTTAGCGTTGTTTTTTTTTTGAAAAATAAGATAAAAAACGTATAAAACTTTGCATACACTGGTCAAGAACTGACATTAATCAATAAAGGTGCAACTTCTGTTAATCAGCTTACAGGCAGCTTATCCTTTTTCAGCATATCTTAAACATTTTACTTAAAGATAGTTAAATTATATTATCGAAAATGCCCTAATAAATCCTAGGGTTGGATTGAACAATTTTTCGAATACTTTTTAAATTTCCTTAAGCAAGTGTGAAAGCTAAAAATATTAAATGTGAAGTGTTTTACTTCTGTATAAGTCTTTTAAACGATGGTTTACAGCATTTTCCCCTTAATTTTTATAAAAATATTAAATTTAGAAAAAAACATTGCTATAGGCAGGAGACTAGAGAACGCAACACTAGTTGAGAAGTCATGAAACAGAATGTTATGCATATCAAAAAATTTACTGTCAATTAAACACTCACCCATATTTCTTGCAGAAAAATACACAGTGGAAAGACGTAGATACTGAAAATACAAATATGAGAGTTGCTCCATACACAATAGCCGAGAGCATGTGATCGGCATCTTTAGATCTGCTTATTAATTCAAGTGCTGCTGAGATGCTAGGTATTATCCAGATGCCATGTGTGATAATATTTGCAATATGTTCCACCGATGTGGGACAATATGCTTCTTTGGAGGGTGCCTTTTTGTTCATCCATTGTATGCTAAAATAAAAAAAATATTACTACTTTGTTACCAACAAGCATGAAATACCCGTATAATATTTTTCACCTAAGAAGACTGCTTTGCAATTAAATGCTGGTAACTTTATTACTTGCGGACCAGATAAGCGGCGATATATTTTACACTACCTTTATGAATAACATTTTACTGCTCTATTGTTTGAATCAGCACTGCTCAACAAGTTATTGTTTATTGGTTTTAATATTTTATTGCAATATTATGAGTACGGAATATTTATTTAAACAATGAATTTATTACATGTTATTTTTTTTTAATTTCTTCTAACATATCATGTAATGTAGGTTTATCCAATAATCAAAGTTATGCCCTTATAAGAACATATTATTTGAAAAATAAGGAGTAAATAACATATGTCATAATAATTGTAATCTCCTTTATACACACTTTAAAAATTTGTTTAATAATGTATTTCTTAAATCCACACAATCATTGAAAAATGATTCATGCTGTTTAAAAATATCTTTTTGTTAACGACACTATCGTTAAGAATTAATTGATGGTTGTAGTGGTATTGGTGTTATTTAATAATTTAACAACTATTTAATAATCAGCAAAAATCTTATTTAAAACATGCAAACGGTTTTTGCAATCACAATCAATGCAGTGTTTATGCTTGTTTAGCATTGGCTGTTAAATAATTTGTGTTCAATTGTTTCGTCTGTTGTACAACCCTCGTCCTTTTTAGGGTGTAGTAGTTGTATATAAGTACCTATTTTTTATAGTAGAAGAAAATAAAATGCAGTCCAAATGTAGAGTGTTATCTCCAGAAGAAAGGCGTTTAGTTCTAAAACTCGAAAGTTATTTCAATTTGAAAAAAAAATATTATGGGTCCATTGACATCTGTTATGGCAGTTCAAAACGCACATGCGATGCTTGCGGTATCTCAGAGAGGACATTCCAAAGAATTAATAACATGAGTGAGAATAAAATAAATAAAGTAAATAAAAGAAATCGACGACATCCAAAAACTTTAGATTTGCACCAGTCAATTAAACGTGGAATTAAAAATATTATATATAATATGTAGAAAGCCAAAGAACATGTAACAGTTAGTGCTACAGTTAGTGTTACAAAAAATAAAAGACAAGGAACTGTGTGATATTAGTTTAACAAGTTTGTGGAGAGTGCTAAAACATTTGTTTTCGATATAAAAAGACAAATGATCTTACACTTAGTTGGCCTTCGTATCACCCAGATTTTAATTGAATTAGTATGGACTGCCTTACTATAATAATACTATTGGACATTATAATATATGATACTTACTATAAAACATATATTGGCAGAGATGAAAATAGAGATGAACCTGTTTTAAATATTTGGAAAGTAGCAATTCAAAAGTGTAACAATGTCACCCAAGCAAAGTGTGTAGAACATTTTTTTTTAAATTAATTGAATAGTGGTTTATTAGAGAAGAAAATTTGCGTAATATTAAAATCGAACCTTTAATAATTTATTGGGGATAACAGTTGAGATTGCCAGAATATTATTTGAGCTAAATAATGTTTCACTCCTTAAATTATTTTACTGTTACCTACTATATCAACACACTGTAAATATTATTGTATATTTAATTATATTTTTTTATAAATTGTTTATTTATTAATCATTAATGATATTAAAAGAATTTATTAAGCTACTTCAAATGTAGCTGTAATTCTGCACTAAAATTTTAAAGCAAAACTAACATTTTACATTCTAATTGTTAAAGTATTTTCCTTATAAAACATTTCAGTTATGTCATGCGAAGCAGTCTGTTATAAATCAGGTCATTTAACAAACAATTGTAGTAATATATCAGTATTATTCAGTGAAAGGTTTTTATATTACCCAATACTACTTTCACTATCATTTATAAGTGTTTTGAAAACATATGTGTACAAATAATTTAACATATTTAAGTGAACTGATAATTATGATTATCTAAACAACACTTATAAAACTAACACTTATAAATATTAGCTTACCTATGGATGGCTACATCTCCAAAAACAATCATTTTTTTTTTTAATAAGAAAATGCGGCACTTAGTTACTTCTAATCATAAAAACCAGATATAATTTGCTATTTTGTATAGCCAGCACAGTTGCAAAATTCAAGGATTTGTAGATAAATTTTGTTAGAAGTGCGATAAGTTAACTCAACGACAGTGCGAACTGGACAATTTATAAAAATTTTAATCCAAAGTTAAAAATAGAAGAAAAAACATTTTTTTAAACACATAAAACATGTTATACAAACTAAAAATCTATTTCTAACACACTTACCATTTCAATTTCTGTAGATAGGTGTTTCTATTGAGATAGAGAAGGTACTGTTTCAGAAGAGTACTGCTTAGCATACCTGAAAACAAAGTAATTATTTATGAAAATCATTCTTTTGTATACATATTATGAAATAAACAATCCATTTACTGCGTTGATTTCGTTGTTATGTACTTATAAATACTAAATTAAATTGCCAAAACATATTTTTTTGCCAATTTGCGCAAATATTTTAAATTTTTATGTTATTTACTAACCAGAAATGGATAAACAAAAGCACCTGGCACTATCCTACACACCAAACAACTGTCAAGAGTAATGTTTACAATCTAGAGGAATCTGACAGTCGGTAAATGAGAGTAACATGTGTTGCCTAAATAGAGGTAACTTCTTGTATCTTATTAAAAGACAATATTTATAATGGTAAATTACATACATGTATTTATCCGTATTTTTTAATATGTATATGTTTTAATGTTAAGCCCTTTTGCCTTAATACAACCTACTTTCGATTCTACAGAATCCCGATAAAAGTGAAAGCTTTTATAGTCAGTCTTGGCAAACACTTATATTAAAAAATATATTTAATTTCACGGCAATTAAAGTGTATGCCTTTCTGGTTCTGAAAATAAAAATAGCACGTCTTAAGAAGACAAAACTTGATACTGAAAGTGGATAACTGGGTAATCATGGATTCCAAACCAGCAGCCGAAAGTGGATTTAATGTAAGTTTTCAGATCGATAAGGAGGCTGAGGAGTCGTTGTTAAGGCCGCAGTAAAAGACCTATTACTTCATCCAGCGAGCCAACTTGATTATATTAGATTAAACTAAACAAAAACAAGTAATGGTTACTGTTGAGCCAAAGCCTGCAATATCTCCTTTCATACTATAGGACACTGAAAAGCAATCTATCAGTTGAAAGAAATTGTATCAAAAGCTGGAAAAGACGCCCTATAAATATTAAATTTTATGGATTTCAAATATAAAAAAACAATCTCGGTACTTACGTGTCACAAAATAGGCATTTATGTATAAAGGAGACGTAACAGCTGCCAGAGTAAAAGTAAAGCAGAACGTGGCAGTGATAGAGATTATTACTGCGTACGTTTAGCTCCCATTCCGTTTAATAGGAAATACTTCAGGATCTAGAGCTTACAGAACATATCTAATATACCACAACGGAGCGATTAGAACTTGTAAATGCAGTGGACTCTAATGGGCGCCATATCGTAAGGTGTAGTAAGAGGTAAACAACAGAAGATTACTTTTTTATTAACTTTGTACTAGTAATATTCATGCCTTGAACGAGAGAAATAAGCTTACCTTAGGACATTAATAACATAATAATCCATCGATCGATCTGATCCTATTCTTAGTGTATTATTAGGTATATGGTGTCTTACTGGCATGTGACGAATGATATCCTTATCATGTCAGGCTCATACACTTTTAAAATAAATTGTGTTAAACCGGAAACGAGATTATATAGACCTCAAATAACTTTGGTGGAATAAAAAGCTAGTATGAAAAGAGAGATAGGATGGCTCTCTAATCGGGCGAAGAGTACAGGTAATTGGGAAACGAATTAGACTGTACTGAAAACCTATAACAAACCCATTAAAACCTTAAAATAAATAAATCTTTGAAATATTTCTGTAAAAGCATTTAAAGTATATCAGACACGAATAAACAGAATTCTTTAAAGGAGAAAATATCAACAAACCTAAATAAATTAATTTTTTAGTACCTTTTACTTTTAATTCTTCATGTCCAAGGTCGGAACAACTGACTCAGGAGATGTATGTGCAAATTAACTATAACCCAACTAGCTGACTGAGAACCTCAAAATGAGATATTTGGTCCTTGCATGTTTTGCGACATTTAAATCATATAAAGGAACAGAAACAGATAACATATTTTTTAGACGTGTACTGTGGTGGAAAAAAGTCTATTTATCTGTGCAGTTAGTCACCATCACCACGCTACGACACAGGTGCTCATGAATATTATAGGAGCCCTAAATAGGTTTAGTAGAGGAACAGTGCCTTTTAAGTCTATTTAGACTTAGTGATATATTGAATAGCAACACAAATATTAGTGGTAGTGTTTATGAGAAGAGGAACCTATCTTTTAGATGAACTCAGACAGACATGACAATATCCGAATCCATTTTTACAGAGAAAGTTAATGCAGTTATATTATTTACGGAACAGGATATCTCCTACTTAACTGGGGAATTAATATAATTCACTTATCGATCAAAGGCTTCCCAAGAAACCAAATAGCTATGTCCACACTGTGAGCCTTTTGCCTGCGCTTAGACGTATGCATCTACGCTTATCGCAGCGCATACCTTGTCACCAAAGTGTATGCGCTATGGCATACCGGCCTACTACCGGCACACACCGCAGTTGGATATATTTGCACTTCAACGTGCCTTTTATATTTACTATTTTTCATCTTGGTATGAAAATTATGTTATTTAATTCATAAAATATAGTTATTAACTATGAACCTACTTATATTTGGTATCAATATACAAGGAAGTAAACTACCATATAAAATGCAACAAAATATTTTATTTATTTTACAATCTTCAGATGTAAAAATTGGCATTCACATTTTTTCATACATGATCCTAACCCTTATAATACCAAATTTTTTGTGACATGTAACACAGATTTAGCATACAGATATTACACAGAAGACACCAAGATGTATAATGTATCTGCCAGGATGACAAACATCAACTTGGTACTACTTTTGTAGTCCAAGGTAGAACGCGACAAATTTGTTTTGAAAATAAAATAAAGGATTTACTTCGATTTCGTGACAGCGTCCCACCATTCGCTGATAAAATACATATATTTTATGCATATTTCTATCTCTTGACTTCCAGATTTCCAATTTATATTCTCAAATAGTTTTTGATTTCAGACAATTAGCTATATAATAAACAAATTGCTAAATATACCAGCAGTGAATCAATAAGCTGATAACCACCGTAGATACGGATTCCAAGCCCGTCATAATTTGGAAATTGGATGTATGTAAAGAAATCATAAAATGTGTATCAAATCAAAAACTAGGAATGGAGGAATTTAAGAAACGCATCAATTGATTTAACGCTGAGTTCGAAGAAGCTACTGAAAGGAAAATTCATACATAGTGTCATGCAAGAAATTAAATCGTGAGCAACTGTCGAATCTTATATGAGAGGAAAAATATGTTGACAAGAGAATAAATGGAACTATGATGCCAAAGTACTGGAAGAGGTAGAGCAGAACGACACAGAAACACCCTACGCACTAACAAAGATAAAACTAACTAATTAAGTAACTCTCCCATATATATCTGAATTCTGATATAAATTAAAACAAATTTGATTCAGTTCCTTTCGGGGAAACCAGCGAATCAACCCAAAAACTAAAAAACATACTAAAAAATTATAAGAAGAAGAGCAATTGCCTGAAGAATGGAATATCGCTTCGATGTGCTCACTATAAAATACTTTCCAGTATAATTTTCACATGTCTGAAACCATAAAAATATTCTAGGTGAATATCAAATATCTTAATAATAAAACAGATCCTTGAAAAAGCTAAGGAATTTGATATTGACACCTTTAACCAGTTTGTAAATAGAAATGCCGTAAAATGATTATACAGCGTTCGTTAAATTCGGAAATGAAACTTTTAAGGACTTCTCAGAGACGAGTAGTATTAAAGATTCCTTCTGTCTCTAGCCTATTTAAAATTTACCTCAGCAGCGCTTTAAAATAAGCATTTAAGGATGTAGCACATATAAATGACATGAAAATATAGCTAGATCTCACGCTATTGTAGACAATCCTCTTTGCAAAAGATCAGGTAGTTGTTGTGGAACACCAACAAGATTTGACGTATGTGATAAAGAAACTCATAGAAGAATTTACAAGATAGGCTTTAAAATCAACATTCATTCATTCATTAAGCTTTACAATCTCTAGGGATTATAGCTAACGTTATGGCGTTTAAAATTTTATTTTTGGTGAGGTGGATTATTCATCTGTGTCATTTATAGGTAGCTCTGTATCTTGTCTGCTGTCGTGATTTTTTTTCCATTTTTTCTTATCCTTGCACTGAACTTTCCAGTCTCTAACATTCATTGTCCTTACATCTTCTACATCTACATCATCCAGCCATTTTCTTCTAGGCCTTCCTCTACACCTGAGTCATAGTGGTATTCAGTTAGTTATCCTTCTCAGCATATCTAAGTGTGGGCGTCTCTGTATACGTTCTGTCCATTCTAAGCGAAGAGATTTAACACATGTGACTGTATTTTTTACCTTTAATTCTTCTACAATTTCAGCATTTGTTTTTATTCTTCTTTTTCCATTTCTTGTTACATTGAGGCCCAGTACCGTTCTCATTCTTTTTCTTTCAAATTTCAGTAGGCTATCTTCCTCTGTCTTGGTAATCGTTGTTTCCATCTCATATGTAACAACTTGTATTAAGGTCTTATATAGGTTCATCTTTGTTCTCTTATTTAAAGTATTGCTTCTCAACAGTTTTCTATTCATTCCATACGTTTTTTTGCCTTTTAGAAGTCTTTCCTCTGTTCTCTCTTTCTGGTTTTTTGCTTTCTTATCTTATTTTTCAATTGCTCTTGTATGTATCATCTTCACCTTTGTTATGATGACTAGATCATCTGCATATGCTATTACTAGAAGTTGATCTTTAATAAGGTTTTTATTTACGGAGTTTGTCCTTATTACTGCTTCTAATATCAGGTTAAACAGTGTCGGGGAGATAAAGTCACCTTGTTTCACGCCTTTGTTTACTTTGATCTCCTTTTGAAGTTGTTCCGTTGAAACGTATCTTTGTTGTGGTGTTTGAACTAAATGATATCATAAATTTCTAACAGGCGTTTATCCCGACCTATTGTGAGAAGGGTGAGTGGTGAAGCTTTGAATAGTCAGAGCTATATTGATAACTGCCTTTCCAAATACTTCAGTTTGTCCACGAACATCTTGCTAATTTTTATATCAGTTTTGGAGTTTTGGACAGACCTACCATTATACTCTCACTTAAGAAATACCCAAAACTGGCTTTGACAACACCACATACCTTTTGTTTCCAAAAACGATAATCCTTCAAACTTGCTGCAGGAAAGCCCAATAGAGGATTTTGAGCTTTATTATTTAGGAAAGTTTATCGTTGAGGCTGGTAAGCCCAAAATGAAGAACAATAAGACGGCGTATTTACGAAAAAGCGAGAGAAATTAATCTGAATTTAGTTCTG